TCCATAGAGGACGAAACGTTGTTGTCGAGATTTTCATCTATTGTGTTCTTTTCTCTTATTATTTTGTTGAATTTTTTAATTTGTGTTGTTTGATTCTCTGATTCTTTAGTTTTTTGGATGTTTCAACAACGATTACACAATCTTTGTCAGTGACCACACCTTTGAGTTTTTGTTTGAGTTTTTCAGCTTCATTTTGTAGAAATTCTCGCGAAGTCGGTTTATGATTCTACATGTTGATCTGTTCATAGATTCATCTATGAAACTTATTCCAGTAGACTTGTGTAAAGACGATCCTTTAGACATATACACTGAAAGCCAGCTTGGAATTCATATTTTAAAATACCAGTGGGGGATGAAAACATTTTACATCCATGAATGCCTTGTTGAAGACTTCAGGAATGTGGTTTTTCTTAAGTGAAAAATGTTCGTTTTAGAATTTCTGCAGAATATTTCTTTCTCTTATTCAATGTGTGGTGACTAACAGTAGGATTTAATCAGTGTCTTTCTGTCCTATTTGGTACTCATCGTCTACATGTACCTGAATCCTGATGAAGTTCAGTATCCCCACTGCGACTCGAGATGCGTAACGATTGTTCTAAATATTAAGTGTTATACAACAGGCTAGGGAGTCATGAAATTAACTTCTTCGAATCATAAATGTGACGAGTGTTCATCCCGGAATCCATCTGGCTCTACATACTGTCTAACAGGTGAAATCAAGTTAAACACCAACTGTTTGATTGATTACCAATAGTTGAATATCGATGAAATGCTCGCAGGCTACTGGCCCTATACAGATAGGTAGTTACCTGGTTTTTATTGGGAAATCATGACCAGTAGAGTGCCTCAGGTCGGGTGTGAGGACAAATGCTTGCTGAAGACATTGGCTAGCTGTCGCGCTACGTCATGAATTGGTAGAGGTTAGAATTCATGGGCCATTAAATCCGGTCCCAGTGGCTGCTGAATAGTCTACAAGCTCACTAGCTTTGTAAACAGAAGGTCCTGGGTTCGAGCCATAGTGATGGGTGAGCACTGATGAGGAGTCCCAAACTTGGACGAAACAGCTCTTCATTACTAGCCGGTTTTCCAATGGTTCTCTAACCAATTTGAGCTAATGATGAAATCCTGTAACCAACCAATTAAACCCCTACAAATCAATACTGGAAATCTAAGATAATTGGAAATTCACAGTTTTTAGGGCATATTGCGGTTTCAGCTTGAGACGCAAAATGTCTGCTTATCAGATTTTGTTCTTGTTGTTGACACTAACGAATACCTAGTGGCTGTTATAATAATAGAAAGTCTGAAGGAAATATTTCTCCTGATTATTTCCTTGCAAGGCATTGAAATCATTCAGCATTCTCATCCTTTTGTGTCCCAAGTGAATACTGAAGGGGCCATGCTGTTGTTTTTGACCACAGGGTGAAGTTATCTGTCCGACCCTTAATCTTCGCTATTCCTTGAACTTTTAACCTGCTAAGAGAGATTTACGAGTTTCAGCCATGAAACGAAGGTGGACCATATGCGAAGTAGTTGGCCAATATTCTATCACTGAACCTTCGGAAAATTAAAAGTATTATAACATCAAAACAAGCTGATTCTTGTAATCTATCCCTGTTTAAGTTGTGGATGAACAGTTTGAGGAGTCGCCAAATAGGACGAAACAGATGTGCAGTGCATCCTGCTACTTCTTATTGATCTCTCTGAATGACGTTGGCTCATGGTGAAAATCTTAAAAATGAAATTAATTCAGAACCCTTCCCCCTAAAAAGAATTCCGATAATCTGAGAATCAGTGTTCAATTTAAATGGTGTTTAAAATAAGCCTGTTATGTATGAACTAATCGATCAGAAAATGTTGTACTCCGTTTAGAGTGCGCTTTCATTTCGGTCTTACATTTTAGAAATCAAAGTCGTCACTAAGACGTTTATTAAAACTAGCTGAAAACCACGTTACCTTTTTTTTTGATTTTTACAGCTTGATTCCACACTGTATTTTTGGTACAAGTATGGAATTTTCAGCATGGATATCGGTAGCCCAAATTTTGCAGGCCAACCATAGATATCAGGTGTGCGCCGGCGTGGGCTCGAACTCGGGACCATGTGCATGGTCGGCGAGAGTCCTAACCACTGTGCCACCGACCTGTGTATTTAACCCTGAAGTTTACTTTAAATTGCCATAAGGTTTGACAGTGTAGTGCTGTTCGCCTGGATGACAACACTCAATACACAACTGAGAGATTTCGATCGGCATTTATCGTACTGAATGATAACATTGATGCCATTTCTGTCACTGAAATTTCTCGGTTAAATAAACTCATTTTTTTAGGTTAATGAACCTTACTTATAAAATAAGAGTGTTAATCGTCAGACGAAAGCTGCTGTATTCCAGTTTTAGTTTAAAGTCTATCCCTGAGCATACCTCTTGAAGGCATCTGACGGCTTATTAACTGCTTATAGACATATGTGACAATTAATACCTTGATAATTCTGGGGTTCTAGCTTCACTATCTATACACATTGAATAAAAATTGTAAATACTGCGTAGCTATGGGACTCGAACTTAATAGCCCTAAAGTGTAATACTTAAGTCCCATATTGAATTGCACGTATAACGGCAGACGATAAGAGACAGGATAACCAACGTTTTTATTCAGGTAAACCAAATCATATTTTCACATTTTCAACCACATTAAAAGTCGGCTTGGTCACCATTTAATAAACTGTTCTCAATGGTAATTGATTGGCCCCTGGTTAAACAAAGAGAGGGGAAAGTTGTCCAATGAGATTACTTCGTGTCCACAACGTAAACTTAATTCAGACTTGAAGAATAAACACTCCTTATTCCTATACCTGAACACCACAGTATTTAAATAAATATACAAACAGATTGAGAAAGTTGCAATGACGTCACTAATATCCTTGATTGTGGTAGATGTATTCATGGATAGGTGGGAGACGTTAGCGACTGAAACGTTCATCCCCAACCAACATGTATGGTGGAGGTATGTAGAACACAGGATATAGACAGATTTTTCGGACACAATAACTCAGAAGTGGAGGTAATTTAATTTTATTTTGAATTGTTAAGCCAGGAAGGTAAACTTCCTGTATTAGATTGTAGCGTAAAAACGAAAGAAGATGGAAAGGTAAATATTGGTGTTTACAGAAAATCCACACATTCAAAAAGATATTTGGACTTCCGATCATCCCATCCTATGTCAGTAAAAATAGGATTGGTGAAATGTTTAAATAATAGAGCACAAAAACTAAGTAGTGTCAAGGAAAATCTAAGACAGGAAGTGAGATATATAAGAGAAGCTCTGAAACTTAATAATTACCCTGATAAATTAATAATAAAATAATATAATTTTTCCTTCACGTTCCCAGTGGAACATAGGGCTCCAAGCTAGTGGTTTGAAGTTTCTGTAGCAGTGTTTAATTTTTACAGGATGGGGTTTCTAGCCTCATGCCCAACCTTTACTCTTTACCAGCATTATTTCTGACTCAGTGAGGTAAGGTAGTGCGCCGGCCGGGGATCGAACCTCGGACCATATGCATGGTCGGCGAGCGTCCTAACAGCTATACCACCGACGCACCTGATAAATTAGTCAGAAAGTATATGTCGAAATGTAAAAATAAATTAAATAATAATAGTAGTGATAGTGATAATAATAATAATAGTAATATTAATGACGACATGCATGTCAATCATGCGCAAGATAATGACAACACCAACAATGAGAAATCCAAATCATCAGTAGTACTTCCATGGAATTCTTAGCAAGGCAGGAATAAAAGTAGTTGGCATTCAAACCACCCACAAGCTCAATTATATACCCTGCCTGCGATGATCGTCAGGTCAAATACATAGGTCAAAGTAGTAGAATAGGGGCAGTCAGACTAGCCAAGCTTAAAATCCTAGTGAAATCCAGATTTTTGACCCGAATAAGATAAGAAATCTAGAGAAGAGTTCAGCTATACCACTCACTACTTGTAATTACACACAACCATACAAAAGGTTGGAATAGGATGACAGTTTTAAAATCTAATGTCACAGAGTGGAAGGAGAGATTGATAACAGAAGCTTTGTTTATCGAATCAACTGGAAACACGTGTAGTAAGAATGATTCAGCAACGGTCCCTGATATCTGGAAAATTCTGCTACCTCAATGACGGCAAATAGAAGAAAACAAAGAAAACTATAAACTTCGAGTTTTGAAGTCGTGTGATTATAACTGATATGACTACGGACAATAAGCTGTGTTCTCAACGTCATCTAGCAAATAATACTGTTACGCTCACTATGTGATACATCTAATAAACAAACTAATATGGAATTGCTTACTACCACAGTGCCCAAGTTTTACATATATATAAACACTTCCACCTCACAAGGAAGCTGACTTCAAATATTGGTTTCAATTTTCTCTCGCCTCCTATCAATCTACATCTACAAAGCACATATCACATACACACACACACATAGATCGTCAATTCAGACAGATGTCTGATAACCTTACCAACTACTCAAGTACGCTGGCATTCGTCCTTAAGTATCAGAGTAAAGTATTCAAACTTAGCTGACGTTCGAAGTTAGGCGAAAACCCCTATACTGAAACCTTGACACCACTAGTATTACTACCAAACTATTTGTAGCAGTATTATTATCGTTCATCTTAGTTAGCTAAGAATGACCCTAAATCCGATTGATAGTTAACAGTTTCACAGTGGGAATGCTCACTTACACACACACACACTCACGCACAAACACAAACACGAACATCAACCAACAAGTTGTGTATGAACGCTACTATCTCTAGATCAACTACCCATTATTGCTATTGTTGTGTATCAAGCATATTTTTTTTATAAAGATGCACAAACACATACGGTAGTAATTCAATGAAATATAATTTTCTCAGGTCATTTAACATCAAATTTATTATTCTTCAATTATATATGATACTCGTTGTCGTGGCAACTTAATTTTAGTTAGCGCGAAATTCAACGCATTCAAAAAACAAATAGTTTGTCTCTCAGTGTCATTCTGATAGTTTAATTGTGAATTAATTTCTTTTTGTAGACGGCTGGCAGTATGTGAGTTTCAGTTATGTTATTTTATTTTTCCTTAACTTTTTAACTATTAGTTTTAAGTGATATTGACAGGTATTCAGTTCGGCTGCTTAAGGGCCATAGAACATGTTTGTTATATAGTGAATTAGATGATACATAATACGCGGAGACATTATATTTAGCATTGGAATTAATGGAGTCTGCCACCAAGAGGTTTCACTTGACAAATATGGTGTGATTATTAGGATTGACAGGGCCGTACATTTGCATCAGTCAGTTTAAAAGTTAGAAATGTCTTTATCAGGCGGATTCATGTATATATATATAGTGGAAAAGTTAGTCTTACTTAATCTTCAACCTTCACTTAAAACCATTAACGGTCCCAAACAGATCGCTTATAAACACAGTATAAGAACTTTAGATGCAGTTGCAGTCTTGTATCATAACACTGTATCCAGCTTAGACAAGGGGGCTAAATTTGTTCGCTGCACCTTCCTAGATTACACATCTGCTTTCGACTCAGTACCTAGGATATTTTGTTAAACAAGCTGGCTGAAACTCAGACTGACTGTTGGGTTGTCAATCGGCTCCATTTTTATTTCTCAGGTAGAAAGCAGTACACTGTATGTCAAGGGAATTCGTCGACTTGATTGCTTACTGAGACTGGTGTCCCTAAAGGTGCTGTCGTTTCTCCTTTTCTGTTTTTTTTCTTCTTGCGTGACTTGCCCCACTCTGATGAAATGAACTTTGTTAAGTATACTGACGATCTAACTATTTCAACGTCTGTTAACTCCCAGCTTGACTATGCTAAGATGAACAGCTTTCTATCAGGAGTTAGCGAATGGTCTTCGTCTAGTGGCCTTTAACTAAATCCTTCCAAATGCCAGACTGTTAATTTCAGTTTCCGATGCAAACGAAAGTTAAATGAAGCCGTTGGTTCCTATGACCCGTGCAAAATTGATGATACTGATATCGAAATCAAGTCTGAAGTTTAGTATCTTGGATTAATTGTTTCTTCTGACCTATATTGGTCTTCCTATGTCTTGGCGATTTCTGAAAAAAATATTTCGTTTGACTGTATGCATTAAGAGGTTAAGTCGCTCGGGCATAACTCAACCCTTCCTCTTAGAGTTTATCAACTCGTGCATCTTTCCTATTCTGCTTTACTGTTCACCATTATTTTTTCCTGGATTGCTTAAAAAAGAATATGTCATACTATGTCGTAGAACTCTGAAGACTGTCAGTCAGTAGGACGAGTGATGGTGTCCCATTGGGCCATATCGTTGACATTGTCACTGATAGGCATTTGATGTCATACAACAAATTTGCTAAGTGAATTTTGTCAAACTCTGAGCATCCACTACAGTACCCGCAGCTCCAACCTTGTGTCTCCGCAGGGAAACAAGAATTCTCTTCAGAAGAAATTTATGCACGTACGTCTAAGTATAAATTTTCTACAATACCATATTTGGCGGCACGTACTTTATGTGATGAAAATAGTGTCAGGCATAAACTAACTAACTAACTAACCTTCTTTGCACTACTAAATAAACCATTTCTTCCACCCTTACAATACCAAACTTTATTGTTATTGTATTTCTTATATTTATAATCCTCTAAATTTTTTGTTTTTATTTATTTTTTTTCATAAGTGTGAACACCATTTAAGCTGTGTTATAGCTGTTATTTTTTTTGTCTTTCCTCTCACCACGCTATATCAAGAGAACATTAGATCCAATAATCTATAACATGCTAAAATTTCCAAGCCAAACTGAATCGACAATACTGTTTGAAAAAACTCACTGTTATTGTTATTATTAATATTGTTATATTTAATACTCTCAGTTCGTGCTTCGAATATTTTGACTTTATATCGTAAAAAGCGTGGACAAGTTCCTCTGGTTACTTTTATTTATATTTTATTTATATTCAAGTGCGTCGGTGGCACAGTGGTTAAGACTGTCGCTGACCATGCAAATGGTCTGGGTTCGATTCCCTGCAGACGCTACCTGATATCAACGAAATCATCTCTACAGGCTGTTTAGTCATGTTTATATTTACCAAAAATTTATAGTAGTATATTATTGATTAACAGGGGGTGACATAATTACTCTGAAGTGGCTTTAAAAAATAAAAGTTTTAAATTATGTAGTACTCAGCGGCACAAAGGAAGAAGGAGTTAGACACCTGATAAGGTTGAAATTTCTATTGAGTGAGAATGAAGGTAGTTGAATGTCAATTTAACAAGCGTGAAGAGGGTGTGAAAATGTACAAAAAGAACATATGACGCACACCTGATATCTATGGCCGGCCTGCAAAATTTGGGCTACCGATGTCCATGCTGAAAATTCCATACTTGTACCAAAACTACAGTGTGGAATCAAGCTGTAATCGAAAAAAATAAAAAAATTTTTATCTCTTTTTTCACTATATGCCTCCAGGTCTTTCATTTCACATATTTGTTGTTTCATTATACACCCCACTCATTGCAGTCTTACTATCTCCTGTTTAACACAGACCACTTTGTACTAGCCACTCACCTGACACCTTTTATAACCTTTAACTGACCTGTCAATTTTCCTACCCCATACTCTGTACTCTACAAATCTTTATGATTAATCACCACCATTGTCTCCTAATTTACAATATTTTCTAATTGATTTGAAGCTAGAACGTTTGTCACACAAATACAACTATTTATTTTCACACCCCATAGCTAATCTGTTATTCTACGTGAAACAAAATGTAGTTACCACATGACTGGCTATTATTGTAACGACAACAAATATATTCTATTTAAATAATTGTAAGAATCTGAAGGGGAGAATTAATTGAGAAGAATATTCTTCGTTCAGATTGACTTTTAATTCATGATATTTTGCAAAAATTCAGATATAAACGAATCATGGCGCTTTGTCTTTAGGATAAAAAGATGGTGCATATAAGTTGTGCACTTAGTCGTAATAATAGTGACAATAACAATGGTATTATCAATAATAAAGACAATAATAAAGTAAGGCAGTCTGTGATAACATGAATAATGAAAAACAGCATGATTAAACAAACAAATGTTCAGGTGGAAGTAGTCGATAAAGGCTACTAAAAACAAATGAACCTATTAACTAATGCTAAACTGTAAGGGAAGGAAATGAGACACATTTTAATGAAGATGCGATAGGATTAAGGGATGATAAGAGAGAGGTTGAAAATATAAATAAGGAGTAGTGGTGGGGAAGTCATCAAGCTAAGGGGGGATATTGTCTGTACGAACTTATTTTTGAATGCATAGTTCAGTGTTAACAGTTCGAGGGCTTATCGCCTCAGATCCATGTATTAGACGAATAAGAAATCTATTGAAAAGATTCGGTGAGATGCGGTGAATGACCCTGAAGGCTTTCGTTTGCTCCACTACATGACCACTATGCAATAAATGTTACAAAATGGAGCTATAAATTGTTTTTGTTTGTCCTTTGCCAAAACACGATAGGAGATGTTAAATAACACGCATTGGCTAAGCTGTCTACTAGTACGCTCAATATAGCTGCCACTGCAGGTGCATTCGAACTAATAAATAAGTATATATATATATATAGATGTGGCGAAACTATCCAGCTTATCTCTCGTTCAGGTCCTAATCACTGATCGATTAGAGAATGACAAGCATAGATAAGTTGGCTACGTAAAAGGTTCTTCATATACTCCAGGAAAGTCTTTGGAATAAAATCTCACTTGACAAGTCACCATTAAATTGTAAGTTAATAAACAGAGGTTTTCTGCGTGCAGTTATAGTCTCAGGTTTTCTCTTTAATTTTTTCATATGTTTCTTTATGAGACTAGTCAGACAGCCCTTGGAAGAAATCACGCAGATTAGGCATTAATTCCTTCAGCCTTATAATGGAATACATATCCGTGTAACAACACGCTCTAGAACCTTGTAAGAAATTCAGAAAGGACAAGACGAGTTAGGCAGGGTTGTGACAGTGACATGAAGGATATCGTGTGAGGCGTATACGCAGGCGGTTAGAGAAAATTGCAGAAAAAATTGGTGAAATAAAGATGCACTTTTAAAGCCGTGGAAACCCAAGGGAACCATAATCATAGTATTTGTGTATGTGTGGATAAATCCTATCTGTCACACACAGGAAAACATTAATGGTAAAACAGTTTGAAAACCTGTTCATGTCATCAAAGCATTTCAAAACAATGAAGATTTATAAGATTAGACCAAAGGTTGTGTAATATGAGGAAAACCCTCAGGAATATTGGAGTGTTAATGATAGAGAATAGAGACAAGTACTCATATACATTATATAACAGATGGATAGAGGGAACAAAAGGTCAGCTACGAAAATTACGTTAATATACGTCATACCAAAAATGCGGAATAAGTATTACTGATAAAATATTGATCAAAAAGTCAAGCTTGGAAATATAATCGGTGTAAATGGATAGTGGATGCAAAAATTTCTTCTGCATGTGTATAAATCATAGGTTTTCTATCCATTTGGCTAAGGAATCAGTAATGCAAAGTATACGATATATTTTCATCAGCTGCAGTACACAATCGTAATTACATTTAACAAGGAATTCATAAGACGAACAATCAGATACTGACAAAATGTTTCCTCAAGAAAGTAATAGAAGGTGTAGTCTAGAAGCGATGACTATTTGGAAATTAGAAAAGTAGCAGAAGAAGACATTTCAAGCAGCCACAACACGCATCACGTTCTCCAGAGGACAAATTATCCAGTCTAATGTCAAGGATGAAATAGCGCTTTTGGTCACCTCAATGTTTATTATCAGTTTATTTGTTCGTGTGTGGGAAGGAGTATATCGGTTGTACACAAACGTAGTGTGGAACGCTGTTCACCTTGGTAACCAGAGCAGAAAAGAAGGGTAGTAGCTGCTTCATCCTCGAACAGCTTATCAATTTTGCACATCAAGCACCCCTGCATCGATGCTACACATAGTACGTAAATATCGTACCAAGGGACTTTGCATGCTCCACCTATACATAGATGAATCATTAGCTATTGGGGATCTGAAACGGGTCCGCTGCATTCAAAAGCTCTACATACATTCCCTCGCGCTACCATGGCCAGAGTAAAGTTCTTACTTCTATATTAGTTTGTTTATTAGATGTATCACACAGTGAGTGAAACAGTATTATTGGCTGGATGACGTTGTGAACACAGTTTATTGTCCGACGTCAAATCAATTATGATCACACGACTTCTAAACCTGAGTCTTATAGTTTTCTTTGTCCTCTGCTGTTTGTCGTCGTAGGGCTAGTAGAATTTTCCAGATATCTGGAACAGGTGTTGAATCATTCCTATTACACGAGTTTGCAGTTGATTCGATAAACAAAGCTTCCGTTATCAATCTCTGGCTCCAGCCTGTTATATTAGGTTTCACAACCGTCATCTGATTCCATCCTGTTTTATGGTTTTGTGTAATTGCATACAGTGAGTGGTATAGCTGAACTCTTCTCTAGATTTCTTATCTTATTCGGATCAACTAACCTAAATTTGGTTAGGTCTTTTTATGCGTTTTTAGTCTGACTGCCTCTATTCTACTACTTTTACTTATGTGTTTGACCTGACCATCATCGCAAGCAGGGTATTAGATAAACTAAATTGTTTTGGTTTAAAGGCTTCACAAGGACTGATTTTTTAACCAACAAAGCTTGTTTCTAATTGAGTTTGTGGGTGGTGTGAATGCCAACCACTTTTATTCCTGCCTTGTTAAGAATTCTGCATAAGGTTTCCAAGCTTCCTTGTTTGTTCGAAACGTCATCCAGTAAATAATACTGTTTCATCACTGTGTGATACATCTAATAAACAAACCAATATGGAATGACTTACTACCATAGTGACCAAGTTTTACACATATATTAATAAAATTCTTACTATAACTTGCTTTTTCTATTATGTAAGTTTACTATTATAATTACCTTTTTTTAATTATCGTTATTATTCCAATTGTCCGTATTTCATTATCCCTCTATTACTGTTTATTAATAACCTAGAGATTTCATATAAAAACTCTTTATTGTCTTTCTACTAGTTCCTGTCCATTCTACACAGTTATGTTGAGTAGTCATCATCTCACACCTACTACGTCATGCCAACACTTCTGCCACTAATTCCTACTTCCAACTAGTCACTCCTTCTAGGTTACACCTTACATTACATAATACGTTTTTCGAGGAAAACTTTTACCAGTATCTGATTGATGTTATGAACTGTCGGTTAAGTATAACTACGATTGTGTACTGCAGTTTATAAAAATAAATCTCCGAAAAGAAGATTTTTCTCCTCTCCTTACGTTTTTTCTTATGGCTTCTCTTATGACGTTGTCAATAACTACAAATGAACTTTCCTTAGATATACTAATGGCTATACCTTTTTGATAGCCAATTGGCAGGGGAATTCAGAAACTATAGAGAGTGTTTATTTTCGTTTCTAACTCCATTCCCAGTAATGCTTACTTCTCTTGTACTTATAACCATCGTTATTTTCCTTCATAGATTTCTTTCCAGTATATATATATATATAAACACAGGAAGACAACGACTCAATAATGGCGGCTTGTGGTTGCATTTTAATTATAATTAACAGTATCTTCCTGGTGAGTATTCAACATTTCAGCTGACCTTTTTTTACAATTTAATATTCTTTTTTATTAAATCCGTGATTCGTGAATTAATTAATTGGATGGAGGGGAGTATATTATGAGCTGACATCAGTTAGAGATCCACCTGAAACTCAGATGGGAGTACTGGACAGATATTTCGTCCTAGTTTGAGACTCTTCATCAAGTACGCATCCACCCCACCGGGGGTCGAATCCAGGGTCTTCTGGTTACAAGGCTGACGAGCTCATTGACCACTGAGCCACTGGGACAGGATCCAATGGCCGGTCCATGAATTCTGCTTCCTGGCGCTTCACTACATAGCGCAACCATTTCGTAGTGTCTTCTTCAACGAAGTAGTGCCTCATCTTCAACCTGATATACTCTACTGGCCATGGGCCATTTGATCGGGTCCCTTGGCTCAATGATCTACGAAATCACTTTGTAACTAGAAGGTTCAGGGTTTTAACTCTGATGGTGGGTGCGTACTGCTGAAGATTCCAAAACTATGCTGATGAAACAGCTGTCCAGTACTCCCAGCTGGGTTTCAGGTGGTTCTCTAACTGATATCAGCTCATGATGAACTCCTTCATCCAATCAGACAAAAAACATCCCTACAAAACCAATACTTGAAAATTAATCAATTCACAGCATGCAATTTAGGCATATTTCGAGGAGATATTTCATTTTGGAATGTCGACATTATTCACGTCATCACAATATATGTGGTATATAAGGTACCGTGAGTGCCAGTCAAGAGACGAAGCATAAATGTATGATGCTATATACTGCGAATTGAATAATATGGGCAGTTGGATACCAGTCACATTAAGCAAATACTACTGATTGCTGTGGTTTGTGTCCAACTACTTATATCATTCAATCAGTAGTATATAGCGTTAAATATTTTGTTGTACCAAATATAAATATACTGACTAACAAATACTGGAATGTGTACGCTAACACTTTATTCTGTTGTGTTCTAATTATAGAGTAAGAATAGATTCTAACAGAAAGATTTGTAATAAGTAATTAATCTGTAATGTACTAACGACTAGATGGCTTTTATGCAGTTTCAGTGGAAGCATTTCCCTCCAATAATAATAATAACAATAAATCTTATTTCCTCATATCCAATACGTTTTCTTTGAAAGGATATCAATAAACAGCTAATAAATAACTAACAACAGTTATAGAACTATTGGAAAATCAATAGGGAGTACTTGACCGTTGTTTCTTCCTGGTTTGAGACTCCTCATCGGTTTGCACCCACTCGAGTTCGAGCTGAGGACCTTCAAGTTATAATGGAGCGCATGGACAGTTTAGTCACTAGGATTTCATCTAATGGCAGATGAATCTCAACTCCAGAGTACTGATGAAGAATCCCAAACGGGGAAGAAACGGCTGTCCAGTACTTCCAGCTGGTTTTCCAAGGATTCTCTTAGTTATGTCAGCTCATCATGAAATCCTTCAACCAACTTTTAGGTTTAAATAACAGTCAAAAGATACTTAATGAGATTGCGCAATCCTGAAACTCTGATCATGTAGAGATTGGAGTGAAATTAAGTATAGAAGTTGAGTGACGTGACATGGTCTACAGGAGTGAATAAAGTTCTACTAAAACTCAGAAGAGGTCAAGTTAACATATATATCCACAGGAGTAGAGACATAATAATGAGGAGGCGATACAAACTTGAGGAAGAAGAAAAATGTCTGTCACTTTTTTAAACTAATCAGGCTTACCGTAAGTCCAGTAATTGAACAAACTTCTTCTGTATGTAGACGCAAGATTTCAGCACACTACACAGATGACTCTAAAGTTGGTTCGCAAATTTTGATCAGAGTCATTGTTCTCTCTGTAAAAGAATGAGTAGATATGTCCAATGATACATTTGAATATCATTTGCTGATTGTTATCCAAAAGGCTCAAAAGTTTACTGGCACATCTGAGGAGACGTCACTTTACGAGTTAGACCACAGGTACTCGTTATAGAACCAAAAAAATCAGGGTGTACTGGAAAAGTCTTTTGTCCTAGCTAGTGAGCTTGGTGACCATCAAGCCACTTAAAAAGGAATCCAACAGCCCATTCATCCACACTAGGACGAAACAGATGTCCAGCACTATCAGCTGCTTTTTTCACTGACTCTCTAACCGATGTCAGCTCATGATGAAATTCTGTAATCAACGCTAACTCTGTCGGTTGGCGGTTTCTGGTGCTACAAATGTCCATGAAGAGTATTTATCCTCACACATGATTTCATAAATCCCACTAGTCACTATTCCTCACCAGAACTCAAAGTAAGTTTGTCACTAGTGAGCAGCATACTGATCCTCAAGTGTTAGTTTGTAAATATTTGGTTACACTCAAGGTTGGTTACTAAGTGATATCAATTCGATACCCATTTGAAAAAATCAAGAATCACTGTGAACCTGTTTCTTTCCAGTTTTTGGGACTCTGAAGTAGTGCTCACCCACTATGCATCAAGGTGGACCGGATGCTTGTCGAAGGCATTACTGAGGCTAGCTCAGTATCATGAGTTGACAAATTAAGAATTCACGGGTTACTAAACTGCCGTCTAAATGGTTATGCGGTTTGTGAGATTGGTCTTATAACCTGAAGTTCATGGGTCCAATCCTCGATGAAATCGTGGATACAAATCCATGAAGAATCTCAAAACAGGACGGAAAAGCGATCCCGTACTGGTTTTCAGTGATCCCTCTGTGACTGATTTTGGTTCATAATGACATCTATCAACTGAAAACGATAAATATAAATAAAAGATCGATAAATATATTATTTCCTTACAGAGTATATCGGTGGCTATCGCCATTATTGGTGGAATACTTGCTTGGAATTCAACTGTCGTGACGAGTGTTTTGAATAGTACACTGGTGTCTTATATTACAACAACATTTTCTAGCAAATTGTCTGTCAGTACAACTACACTTGTGAATAATATTATTTCAGTTGTTCGTAAGTTAAAATATTTTAAAGATATTACATGATGATTGGTTTGGATTTTGGTTTCAACCTATAGTCATGTTCTAGCTGAGCTATTGGTTATTATCATTGTCATTATTATTATTGTTTCCTGTAATCAATAGAGGAACATAGGGCTCCAGCCGCACGTCTTCACTGCGTTCGGTTATCTGCCAATGTTTTTACCTGGCTCCATGTCTGCCCACATGCTTTCATCTCGTCTTCAAATGACCTCCTCCAAGTTACCCTTAGAGGAACGACCCACCGCTTTCCGTTCGGGTTCCACTTGAGCAATGGCTTGTCAAGTGATGTCACTTGATGTTCTTTCCTCAGAGTATGGCCAATCCATATTCCTGCATATTTGTTGCACAACTGGTTCCTGCTGGGTTGGTTCGCTCCTAGAGATTCCTGTTGCTGACCTTTTCTGGGCGAAGACAGTTGTTGATAAAGGTCTGTAGTTTTGTTTGAGGCGCACTTCAGGACGCGCTTAGTCTCTGATCCATAAATTAGTACTGATTTCACATTGGAGCTAAAAATCCGGATCTTGTTTTTCAGGCTGAGTGCTAAGTGATTGATAGATCCACCTAACCTTTTACATAAACAGATAGTGAGATGCATCATTAAAGATGTGTTGGAATACGTTCATCAGTTATTCAGCGGTAGAATACTCGCGAATCACGTCTACGGTTGGGATTCGACTGCTGACTGAAGTACCTTTCAACCGCATCTAGTTTACTAACTGACAGTAAGCTCAGTGAAATGGGGAAGTTGAAGATAAAGATAGTAGCCCCAACATCACTTGAACTTCAAGGCATGAAGTCCTATGCTTCAAGTGGAATGTGAGGATGTAACGAATGTATGGCTGATTGGAAACCGTTATCTACTTGTGTGGAAAAAAAACTGAATGATTTGTCAATAAATACTGGGATCCCAACAGAAGTCTTTAAAAGAAAGCCTGCTACTAAATCTGTCATGAATGCAAATTAAAAATTTGATGGCGGGATCTACATTCAAGTGAGGGGAGTGACAGTGGGCCCCTTGATTAGGATCCACATAGGTAATCTAGAAGACAGACCATCAGAAAATTTCAGAAAGATCACATTTTATTGTCGAAAATATGAATAATACAGTCATCCTTTCTGAAAACGGTTTTGATAAGCTCGCGATAATCTTTAACTTCTGTGGCAGTCATTAAATTCACATGTGCAGAAGAATCCTAGAGAATGGTTACCTTATTAGGCGCTTTTCTCAAAAGAAAATCAGTTGGCAATATAAATAGGAATCTGCTTGAGAAAAGTACATGAGAAAGGCAATATATATTCACATTTTCACAGCTTTGTCCCCGCCCTCCTCTAAATATGTGTCAGCAATTAAGGGGTGAATTTCCAAACGAAAATGTAGGCAGTAAGTTGGGAAAATCACTTCAGAGAAATTTAAATGCTGGCAAAATGTGTCTCATATTTTTCATACGTCCACTTGTGATACCAACTCCGCAAGATTGAGCACCTAGGCTATCCATCTGTTTCTGTATCTACTAATTCAACTGCTCTGATAGAGCCAATTACATAGTCCATAGCTCGAGGAAATGGATTTCTCGTGCTTGATATAATAAAAAGTATTAACAGTTCTATGTCAACACATCTACTCAAAAAAATCCATAAAGTCACCGTCGAAAAGTCTCTTTCTATTGTCTGTCACATACCCAATACATTTCCTAGGAACACTACACACAGTCTCAAGAATCATGTAGAATATATCATGGGATTTGGAAATCTGCTGTACCTAGCACGAGAAACATAATTCGTATCTCCAGCACTAATGTTAAGTCACCTCTTCCATATGGGTCATAAATTTGGCGTGCACGTCACGGAAAGCATTTCCAACAGGCTAATTCAAATTTTTATCAGCAGATCAAGTAGCCGGAAGGATTTAGCACTCTGCAATGAACCAGTCAAGAACCTGGTGTTCAAGAAATACGGAAAAGAAAGTTTAGGGGTAATAGACATACACACTGGGGAGGACATCGGGTGACATGTCGCATCAGGCATACCTCCAAATGGAACCTGAATGGATACGTTGAGTTGCGAGGGAATTTGAGGGTCATTTGGGGGATTGCAGTCTGAGGTGAGAAATTGTGGAGCCAGTTTAGGTAGACTTCAGAAAATAAGATGGAATGGAGATGCGCTATTGAATTCATATATTCTACTCGTAACCCAAGGGAATAATAATGAATCTTTAGACAATATAATTTCTGGCTTTTCAATAACAAACTGACTTAAGTTAAAGAGTCATTGAAAACTAAGAAGAACTGAATAGCGGCTTCGTATTTAAAGAAAGTTTGCACATCAGTCTACATGTTTAACGCCTTCTCCAGAGGTGTACAAATCCTAACAATGATTTACCATTACAAGTACTTGGAATTTATTTTAATGAACATTTCTAAGTTACCACTGTGGTTATATCTGAAAAAAAATATACTAGAGATATTGTTGACTTCCTGACTTCCAGTGAAAAGACATGAATTGATTGTAAGAGTGCCCAACAGGGGATGATTGACTGGTGCAGTGAAAATCTGAGCGCGCAAGTGGATCTGAACCTAGGCGGTCTAAGGACTAGTTAACAATCTGTATGTCTGCTCCCAATTCACTATGATTTTTGCACTAACACGAGGACAGAACTGAAGTGAATAATTAGTATGATGACAAAGGAATATTTGCTAATTTTTGATCTACATTACTCATGATGACTGCAGTGACATGATGGTTCAGTTAGTCGGTATGTAGGGTATCACAGTTCAGTGGGTAGAGCTCCAGACTGTCGATTGTTTTAATCTTGAAATGGTCTAGATTTTCATTCAGTCTGTGATTTTTCGCATCCTTTGGGTGCGCTCAGTGAAGCATAGGGCCTCAAAATATTGAATTGTCAGTAGTGGTTGTATTGCTTTTTTCTACGAAGTTGGTTTGCTATCGCTACACTCACATTTGCCTCCTTTTACGGGGTCACCATCAGCTGGTAAACAAATTGAGGGTTAGGAGAGCGTAAGTAGGGAATTATATCGGTACCATATACCTGGCTGATAGGCATTCTAGTACCAGACCACTGACATACCAACTTGCGACTACCATTCATCGAATAGTTGGATATAAAGTAATTCCAATCAATAACAATATGTGTGTTCATACTCTTGTTCTTCGTTCATGTCTATATTGCGAGAACTAAGAATTCGGCCGCAGCAAAGTATTGCCGGTTATAGCCTTTAAATCTGTCTAAAATTGTCTGTTGTCATTACTCTCAGCTAAATATTCACCTTCCTGAAAGTAAAAAGTTGCCAGTCTATCAGTTATCAGGATATCTGAAAACTCAGATTTCCAAATAGATTACCGTGGACAGTACTGCCTCATGATATTATGATGTGTTGAGAATTCTATGCTTTCAATAGAGAAGAAATTCGGATATATACATTCAGAGAACTGATTAAAAACACCCATTATATCTTTCTCAAAAGAACAGTTACTGAAAAATAATATTCTCTTCGATATCTTCATCACCAGGTTCTGCAGTTATATATATATATATATATATATATATATATAAATTAGGAAAGATAATATTACGAATTCATAAATTTATCGTCTCCACTGAAAGCTGGTCAGAGCAGTAGTAGTGGCTGGCTGGAGTTCTTTCTTCTTCACACACAGAGCACTGGTTGTTTCACGAGAATTGCTATAGCCTCTGCTATTTGGAGTATGCGGTACCTGGGTGTTTCTTTCAATTTATTTGGTACCCGGTAGATGATAGAGAAGGATTCTTCAATGTTGGCTTTTTGGCAGGTTTGTGCTAGGCGGTCTAACATCGAACTGTTAATGGTTTTTTACTACACTTTCACTTAGTCACACTGGTAGATGTTCCCGAGAGAGCACAAAAATTCAAGTTCCTAGAGCGACGGCCTATATAGCTCGCTCTATAAGCGTAGTTGAATTGGTAGATACATTTAGAAATGGCTAGCTTATGTACTTCATCTTTCACCATCGAACTTGTGGTTCACCAGCAATAAAAGACCTTTGAATAGACTTTCTTAACTTGTTAGTAATTACTTCACTAGCTGCGTCACTCTTGAGTTGCAGTCGTTTATATAAATGCTTTTCTGCTTTCTTGGTTACTTGTTTCTTGATGAACTTTCCTGAATAGTTATTTTCAAATACGCTGTCATATACAATTCTCAGCTCATCTTCAGTTACCTCTTCTGAGCATATAGCTCTAACCCTGTAGTTGAGGGTTTTCAGTAAATTTCCTTCGTATTCCAAACAGCATAGGCTATCGTCATTCGTGTGAAACAACCGATGATCTACGTGCATAAGAAACACCTGCAGCTAGCCACCACTATCGCCATAGCCAGCCTTCAGTGGATACGATAAGTTTATGAATTTGTATTATTATCTTTCCTAATTTACTTGCCCGATATTCAGTGTATTGTCATGTTGATGCTATGGAACTGTAATCCACTGATATTCTTATTGATATTCTTATTCTGACTGATATCAGTCAGAGTATCCCTGTGAACAACCACAGAGTATTGAGGAACGTCTCCGCCCTGGCTTGGTACTCTTCATCAGGATGTATCCAGTTGGCTTCTAACCCACCACCATCCAATTACAAGTTAGGCTTGAAGACAATTCAGCTATTTAGACACAGATCCAAAGGTTTATAAATTTCAAATTCTACCAATTCATGAAAATGAATCTGTCAACCCTAAACAGAAATTTTTGTCAACTCGACAGACTAAAATAAAGATCACTTGAAAAGATTGAATAATCTTCTGCATCATCCATGGATTAGCATTATTAACATTCTTTTACTGAGCAAAGAATATCCTTTTGCATAAATTCCTTTTCTGGATCTACAATTATATATGCAGGTTTATATGCAGAGAATATTCTAGAATAGTAGTCAATAACAATATTAGTGTTTTTTAAATAATATCGATTTGTTAAGTAAGATCACAGTGGGATTACAGTTCATTAAAGATGCCTAAATAATAATAATAATAATAATGAAGATATAGTAGCGAATAGAATCTCAACTAAAATTAGGAAAATTCCACAAAAATTCAGGATCATTCAAACCTAGATGGCCAAGGTAATGATAATGTCTGAACTAACTACTTTTGGATGTATGCATTAGGTTTGTTAATATGTGGGTGCACAAATTCAGTTCTAAAGTCTCTACACTCATACGGAATGACTTAAACCAACACAGACCGATTGTTGCTATTATAACATGAACAGTAAACGCAATTCGGATAGTATTTTGACCAAAACAAACATACAGAAGCTCTGGATGTTCTCCGTAAAAATGATAACATAATAATAGCAAGAACGGATAAGGGCTCAGGAGTGGTGACCATGAACAAAACGAATTACTTTGAGAAGATGAATACAATTCTTAATGATGATCAAAAATTCAAAAAAATTTCCTCTTCTTTGGATACGATTGAAAAGATAAAGAAAAAGTTAGCGGAAATATTGAAACGACTGAAACAACAAGGCTTCATCTCACAGAGTCAGTATACATCACTTTAACCCACTGGAACGTTCACATCAAGAGTATATGGCTCGTCTAAAGTGCACAAAAATGGTGTACCGCTTCGACCAGTATTAGATATGTTAAATTCACCATATCATCATGTAGCCAAATGGTGAGTCGAACTCTTACAGCCTCTTCATACCAGTGTAAATAATACTTTCGGATTTGTTGAAAGGATAAAAGGTTTAAATGCTGACAATAAATTCATGATATCATTTGACGTGTCTTCCTTATTCACCAATGTACTACTCATAGAAACAGTGGACTTTGTATGCGAAGAACTCAAAAGACGAAATATCAGTGTTGGCATTCCTATATCTTTTATGAAAGAGCTTCTATTGAAATGTACAATAAATGACCACTATTTATTTATTAAGGCACTTTATTGACATATTGACGGTGTGGCAATGGGGTCACCAATAGGACCCATTCTAGTCGACATTTTCCTTGCGAAACTGGAAAATGAGCCTTTGAAGGATGTTATCAATGAACTCGAATTCTATTGTCTGTACATAGATGATACATTTTTGATTATGAAAAATGAGAAGGACGCAAAGACCAACCTGAATAAATTTAATGAGGTACATGCTGCAATAAATTTTACTAATGAGAAAGAAAACGACTCTAGTATTTCATTTCTAGACATCCTTATGACGAGAAAAGAGTATGGCGCAATAAGAAGAAGTGTTTATAGAAAACCTACACAAACGGGTCAGTATACTCATTTTCTCAGCTTCGTGCTCTTGAAATACAAACTCAATCTGATAAAGTGCTTGGTTCAGTGCGCAAGAGCAATTCGCTCGGATGAATGCCTTGACGAGGAACTTAATAATATAAAAAGGTTGCTAAGTGAAAGTGGTTATCCTGAAAAGTTTATTGATAAGAATATGAATCCAAAATCAAAGCAGACCAAGTTACCAACAGTTCCATAAGAGGCATATTTCTTATGAATGCAGTTCCTTGCGGAAAACATCAGCGAGATACTAACACAACGCCTTAGAAATGCGGTAAAAGCAGCATTCCTTGCTGCTGAATTACGCTGTATCTTCGAAACCACTCCTCTTTTGTGTTCGGGAGTAAAAGACCAACTGCCTAATTTCGTCTCTTCCATGCGTATCTACCAATTAAACTGCTCCTGTGGAATGAGCCAGTTATATAGGTCGTACAATTAGACGTGTTTCTTGTCGAATTTCCGAACATTGCCCTACAAAGTGGTTAAGTGAAGGACAAACAAAATCTATTCGCAGTGCTATTCTGTCTCATCTTATGGATACAGAATACAAGATTGCTGTTAACCAGGCTGCTTTCAGGGTCATTTACCGCATACCTACGAATCCCAATTTCGCCTTAAGAGTTCGACTATTAAATATTGCTGAGGATGTGGGGATCCCTATAAACAAGCCTAATTTGTGCATCCAAAAGAAGTTAGTTCAGACATTATCATTACCTTGGCCATCTAGGTTGGAATGATCCTGAATTTTTGTGGAATTTTCCTAATTTTAGTTGAGATTCTATTCGCTACTATATCTTCATTATTATTATTATTATTATTTAGGCATCTTTAATGAACTGTAATCCCACTGTGATCTTACTTAACAAATCGATATTATTTAAAAAACACTAATATTGTTATTGACTACTATTCTAGAATATTCTCTGCATATAAACCTGCATATATAATTGTAGATCCAGAAAAGGAATTTATGCAAAAAGATATTCTTTGCTCAGTTATTTTGTATCATATGGATGTCTGAATGAATATTTTTGCTATATTCTTTTATTTAATGCTGAGTTTTTTAGGTATGATTTCTTTTTGTTGAATTTTATATTTCTCCTGATTCTTCAAATGTTTCACCTTGTTTTCTGATTTTTTTTTATCTAGAACCTATCGGTGTGGTTATCTTTATTATTGGCATGGTAATGATAGCAATCTGTCTGTTAGGCATCTTTGGTACATGCTGTAAATCAAAAATTTGTTTGGGCCTGGTAAGTTCACGCGAAGAATGTAACTTTGAAATTTTTGTTTGATAGCGGCTGTCTTTAAGATAAAGAAAGATGTAACCACATCCCCCACACCCACCGCTGCCATTCATTTGATGCATATGTATTCTATGTGCTAGTGATGGAGGTTTATCAAAGTGAAGTGATTTGCTGTCTATGTGTCTGTCTATGAAGTGTACAAAAGAAAAAAATCGTTACAGGATTTCATCATGAGCTGACATTAGTTAGTGAACCATTGGAAAACCTGGGGGTACCGGACAACTGTTTCGTCCTAGTTTGGGGAGTCTTCAAAACTACGCACCCACCGTGACCTGCCCTATTCAGGTAGGAAGTTACCTGGGGTTCTAGTGACAAGTCGTGACCAGTAGGGTGCAGCAGGTCGGGTGTGAAGACATTTGCTAGCGGTCGCGCTATATCGTGAATCGGCAGAAGTTAGAATTCTTGGGCCATTGGATCGGGTACCAGTGGGTAATGGTATACGAGCTCGCCTTGTAACTAGAAGGTCGTGGGTTCGAACCCTGTGGCGGTTGCGTACTAATGAAGAGTCCCAAACTAGGACGAAACGGTTGTCCTGTACTCCCAGCTTGTTTTCCAATGGTTCTCTAACTAATTTCAGCCCATGATGAAATCCTGTGCACAATCAAATCCCTAAAACCCAACACTTGAGAAACAAGATCGATGAAATACAGTGGGAGAGGATTTAGCCGAACAAAAAAGCCTTCGCCAGAAGACTATCATGCCTTAATCGCTCAGTAGTAATATCTGTGATTGTAGGTTTGTGTGATCTGGGTTTCAACTTTAGAGACGATATGAATTCTATGAAGATAACAGACAAACCTTGCAGACTGGCAAGTGCCAAAGAGCACGAAATCTGGGTGGAAAGCTTCCTGCCGACTGCTTTTAGCTATCTGGTAACAATATTGTACAGAATTCTCTGTGTATTTCAACTTCCAGACTGTTACTCTTCTTTATAAAGGATTTTCAAGTAAAATACTAACCGATACACCGTTGTTGTTAGGGACGAGTACAGTAGTGGATTTCGCATGACTAGATTTTATAATTCAAAGATAAAGTGGGTTATGAGATGGATGATGCTTTAAGCTGGGTGTAAAATCCAGGTAGATCGCTGTGATGATGACAACTTAACTCAGAAGCTGAAATTCAAGACATTCTGAATCAGAGGACTAGACGCATCACACTAGTTACTAGTGTCAAATCAAAATATATCCACTACAGTCCTACAGGAGGTCAATCTCGAGCCCGAATAGCTCAGTGGTAACGTCTCTGACTGCAGCACTGGGTGACACGGATTCGAATCTCAGAAGGGACATGAGTTCCTTCAAGGTTGCAGATACGCCTTTCTGACGAGTGCCAACTAGCACTAAACCTAGATCCTGGCAAGGCTTCCTGCCGATTACCTCCAACCATTTAATACCATCAAATCAATGTGCACCGTGATGGCGAGCTAGCTAGAATGGTGGTCACATTACAACCTGACTGATGGAATTCAATCTACACCATTTAGAGGATTAGACGCATTACACTAGTCACTAGTGTCAAATCAAAACATTCTGAATCAGTTTGTTCATTGTCTACTTACCTGTTACTCCCTCCAAGGGATATAAATGTTCTCCCGCAGTGATTAGAACAACATTTCCTGGTTGTACCGCATTCTTCAACACAACGAATAATCATCAGCATATTCTGAGTGGAACATTTGCCTTGTACTCTGTTCTCTGTAGTCTATCTTGGCTTGCTATACAGCTGTCCATATGATCTCTCTCCTCATCTCACATAACCTCCTTCCTATCACTCTTGAACATGCATTCAAGTTCCTCTTGATCACCTAACTATTGCACGGTGTCACTCAGTGGTCTCCACAGCGTATGTCCAAGCCATCTGCATTGTTTTCTACACATTTTGGACGATATATTCTTGGTTGGTTTGTTGCTAGACTTCCTTTCTGACCGGGCACTCGATCTTCAATATCAAACCAGGGAAAGTAGGTGTTGATCAAATTCGGCAACACAATGTTCGAAATGTTTTTCGGTGAATCTCTGACTATTTTTACTTTTTGATTATAGCTTCATTCCACATCGTATTTTTTTTGGTACAGGCATGGAATTTTTAGCATGTGATATTGGTAGCCCAAATTTTGCATACCGACCACAGATATCAGGTGTGTGTCGGCAGGGGTTGAACCCCAGACCATGTGCATTGTCGGCGAGAGTCCTAACCACTGTGCCACCGACGCTTGATATTAGTGCTGAGAATCCAAATTTTGTTTTTTATACTGATTTCAGCGAGTTGAAGGTCTTCACTGCCCTTGCGACACTATTAAGCTTTAAAATCTTCATCCCCTCTGCCTGTAATTGAACCGATGACGTCTAGATTAGTTAAAGTGGTGACTTCTGTTCACATTCCTTCCATTGACGGTGACTGATACTCGCTGTTACTGACTAGTTACCTTCATAATTTCTGTCTTCGCTATAGTTAACTTAAAGTTCTGCTTTCTTACTCAGCCAGCCTTTACTGCCAACCTGTTAGTTTTTGCCCATATATCGTGACGTTTGTCAGACACTAGACATAAACCGTCTACGAAGTCCAGATCCTCTAGAAATTGTTTTCTCATTACAGCATATGCTTGTTATCTAGCTGGCTACGAAATGAGTTTCATGATCCAGTCGACTACAAATTGAAACTATCATCGGTGATAAATAATAATAATTTTTTTATTCGAAAAACAGTACTAGTGATACAGCAAGGAATTTTACAGTACTGCATCTAATTTACTCAAAACGACAAAAATAAACATTACATAATAATAATAATAATAACAAAACGTTGTTATAGCAGTTATGTAGCAGTTACAGTATGTGATAAGGAGAAAATATGCATTAAGTATAAAATTGTAGTAATAATAGTAATAACAACTAAAATAAAACAAAGCAAAGTTATAATTAAACGATAGAAAGGGTGATACCATAAAATTACAGAAAGACGACTGATGAAAGGGTCGATTCACTTTTCTAATTACATAGTAACTTATGTGTTTCACGTCTAACAGTGTCCTCATCACATAAAATACGGGCTAAATAAGGCATTGTAGAATTTTTGTACTTAATGGTTCGAGCATATAACTTCTTATATTGACTTCTAGTCCTACCTGATGAGATGCAAGGGGACAGTTGTGAATAAAGGGGATGTAGAGGGTCTGACAGTACGGCCTTTGCCAATTTTGTACAGGAATTTATGTGTCTCTCGACTATAATATTGGCGAGCTCACACAGTGGCACACCACAAGCCCTACTCACAGCATTTAATACTCTTCGTAATATGATATAATCTTTTTTGAGAAGCCCAGGAAAGATTAATGGAGAGCAATAGAGTACATTAGGTAAAATACAGGAGTTTAAAAATTGCAAAACTAAAGGTTGGTTGATACCTGATTGTCTTAACTTTTTAATGTAGAAGGTAAGACGAAACATTTTCTTAGAGATAGATAAGATATGGGATGACCATGAAAGGTCAGAGGAAAAAACTAATCCAAGGTATTTAATGCTTGATTTGGTTTCAATTTCCGTGCCATCTATGCTACAGGGATCATGCGAGTTAACTAGTTCAAGTAAGTCACGTCGATGCTTGAAAGTAAAGTCAAGCGCCTGACATTTGGAAGGATTTAACATAAGACCATTTGACTGAGACCACTTGCTGATGTCCAACAGAAAGCTATTAGGTTTGGAGCAGTTAGACTCGAAAGTGATAGGCAGTGATACAGTCAGATTATCCGCATATTTGACAAAGTTAGCTATGTTTAAATGAGACAGGTCACCTAGGAAGAAAGAAAAAAGAAAAAGAGAGAAGACGGCACCCTGAGGAACATCGGTTTTTGTAAGCGAGGCAGAACAAGATTTGCCATTATATACAGTATACTGCATTCTACCAGAAAAATGCAACCAACTCATAGCCCAGGATCATGTTTGCGCCAACAAAAGCTTATTTAATAAAAGGCCCCTAGGTGCAGAGTCAAAAGCAGATGTGTAGTCTACGAAAGCACCAGGAACATATTTGGCACCTTTGTCTAAACAAGAAACAACATTGTGATATAAGATAACCACAGCATCCAAGGCACATCTATCATGTTTATTTGCAAATTGTTTAGGATCATTAAAAGGTTTCAATGAAGGTTCAAGACTAAGTAAAAGTAATTTTTCCGCCAATTTTAAAAAAAGAAGAAGAAATTGCAATAGGCCTAAATTTAATATCAGAACCAGAAGATGGTTTTGGTATGGGGATAACTTTAATATTTTTCCATGCAAAAGGTAGAACATTACTGGAAAAGGAAGCATTAAAAATGTTAGTGAAAGGATAACATAAAATATCAGCACAGTTTCTGAGGACAACGGCAGGTACACCATCAAGACCAAAGCTTTGGGAAGGCTTAAGAGACCGGAGACATTTAAGCACATTAAAATTGTTGTCTATATATTTTGTAACATTAGTAAGGATATCGACAGAAGAGCGTATGAGACTTATTTAGAGTATCAATATTAAGTGATGGGACAAACTAGAAGGGGTTTTACAAGACAAAAATCTATGGTTATATAAAACATTTAGTCTTCGCATTTGGAATTTCATCAGAGTATTTAACTTTTTTACACCTGACTTATCATTTAATTTTGAACAACAGTTCTCTATCTCTATGTAGCTTTTTGTTAAACATTGTTAAACAGAGAGTATTTATGCATGAACAATAGGAAGACTTTAAAAAATCTGTAAAGCGAACAAGCTAACGATAAACTAATGTACTATTAAGCGAACTGAACTTCATTCAGTTAAAATAGGAATCACAAAAATTTTCTTAGCGAAAATGAAGATCACGATGAACTTAAATAAAACAATTAAAGAATTTATAATCATTGTTAAATGATCAGAAAATTCACAGAGAAAAAAAAAACAAAAACAAAAGAATACGAGATGGATTG